AGGTTCTGTTCAGGGATCCAGTCCTCATCGGGCTGCTTTCTCTTCCAGGTTCTGGTCACCGTCCCGCTGACCCTGCTCCAGAGGGGCCTCCTCCACTTCCACCCCCCCCCTTCCTGAGAGGAAGCTGAAGGCCATCCACAGCTTGGGAGCCGGCATCATCGAAAAGGTACCTCCCATCCCCGCCGGCCCGCCTCCAGAGGCTGTCGGTGCCCAGCAGCTAAACCTCAGTCCGAACGTCCCGCAGATCGCTCTGCAGTTCCCGACCCGGTTCTGGGACTCCAAGATCCAGGGAGCCGACTACTTTGGTCACATCCCGCCGGCACCGGAAAAGCGAGGCCTGTTCAGCGTCTTCTACGACCTGGACCCTCAGGTGTGTTTTTAAAGCCATGACCAAGGAGGAGCCGACTGGTTCTGGATCAGAGGGTCGGCTCCTCCCCCTCAGGGTCACTGAGGCATCATGGGAGTCTGAGTATCTGCTCCAGATGTGTGTGTTTAGACTGGGAGGAGAATGAAGGACCCAGTCCTGTGAGGTTCTGGGTATCCGATCCCTGAAACCAAGCTCAGACCCTTTGAGGCCCTGGCTGATGTAACTGTGTCCAACAGGGGAAGCAGGCGGTGTTGATGTCGGTCATCTCTGGCGACGCCGTTCCTGCTGTCTGCGAGCTGGAGGACCAGGAGGTGGTGGGAGAGTGCCTGAAGGTCCTGAGGGAGCTTTTCCCCGAGCAGGTGAGCACCGGTCAGGGGTCCGGTCGGCCACAGCATAGAGGGTCAAGGGTCAGCTGAGACTACCAGGGGAGCAACTAGCTACATGCTGAGGGGTATGCAGACTCATTATTATCCTTGTTGGAGATCTGATTGGACGCTGCATAAACTCAGTTAAGACATCTAAACTCAAGTGTATCATTCCCCAGTTGAACCATCTCCCTGCTTAATGTTCCTTCGTCTCTGTCTTCTTTGGGCTTTTTTCCTCTGGTCAGGATTAACTGACTTTCAGACAATCGACGATCTCTGACCCCTCGACTGACCCCTCCCCTTAAGAAGTTTCAGGATGAGAACAGAGATTTCTTTAAGCTCCAAGAAGTCCAGCTGCCTGCCCAACCCAAACTACCTCAACCAGTTGGTGACAAAAGAAATGAGAAAATAAAATGAACTCTGCGGGCTGAATATTGTCACTTAAACTCAGTGAGGACAGGAAACGGATCACCAGCTCACCGAGTCCGCTGACTGTTTCAGGATTCAGGCTTCAAGAAGCATCAGGATGTGAGGAGAAAAGTCTCACAAGAAGAAGAAGTCCAGCTGGCTGTGTTTAGGCTCTGAGCATCAGTAACCCAGCTAATGTTCAATATGTGGCTGTGTTTGATTCCACTGGTTTTAAACCAGGTTTAACCTTTCATTATTTGTCATTTCTTTTCCCACCAGGCCACCAACCGACACTTCCCTCAGACCGTGACGGGGGCCTACCTCAGCGGGGTCCGAGAGGCCAGCAAAATGGCTGCTGTGTAAGCCGGCGGCCTCGCAGCCCTTGGACGCCGGCACCGCCAGACGGATGGCCGACACGGCCGGCGTGGAGCTGAGCGCCTTGGAGCTGAGTGGCGGCATACCTCTGCATCAGGGTCCAGCAGGGCTCTCTGCACCTGCTTTCACACACTTAGCACAACAGCTGGGGAGCTGCTCTATATTTATATCAAATCCCATCAGGGAAAGTGCTTTGTTTAAAATCGAAAACCACCTCAAAGTGCAGCTCTGTCAGATTCTGGGAAGCAGGACGCTGTTTTTACTCCACTTCAGTTCACAGTCAGCACTTGCTTTGATTTGCTTAAAACTTTAGGAAAACTAGGTCTTTAATCAGGAATACCTAAATAACTTTAATATCCTGGGATTATGGTCGTGTGATCGGGTCTAAAATATCGTTAAACACGGTGTAGTGAGGTAGATTTATTCTTTCTGTGGTTTAGACGGTTAGACTTAGATATGGAGAACTTGTTTCATGTCGTTGGATTTTTCGAAACGTTTAAAGGAGGAATTCGATCAGGACACAGCAGCCGTCCCATTTCTTTCTCAGGGATGTTATCATGAAATCAAATAAGCCCATACGGTGAGAAAAGAGTGGAAAAATAATGAGAATGGACAGTGTTGGATTTAAACAGCTGTTGATGCCGGCGTGTGACTCCTTTCTGTCTCTTCCTGTGTGTCTGATGCCTGAATATTTATCCTGTATGTGTCTAATAAACTGAGCTCAAAACTGCCGAAAGAAGCGGTTTCACTTGCATTGAGTGTTTCTGCCCTCCTCCGCCAAAAAGTCAGATCAATTCTGATTATTTCTGTTCTACATTTGGTTCTTTCAGTGTGTCTGTGACTGACATGGATATACAGATGGTTTAGCATAAAATAGTCCTTAAATGATCCCTGGTGGTAATATCACAATTTTTTAGTTGGTTTCGTTACTTGTTCCCTATATCTTAACTAATTTCGTTGGAAAAATGTTTTACATCTACTATGAAAAAGATTGCCAGAACAGAACAACCTCAGTCATAATAAAAACACGCAATAAGGACCAGAAAATCTGACATTTTGAACCTTG